TTTTCAGAGAGAGGGGAAGAGAGAAAGAAAGAGAGGAAGATTAACATTGCTATGAGGCAGAAACCTTGATCACATGCCCTAACCAGAAACAAACCCACAGTCCAGGCATGTGCCCCGACCAGCAAGTGAACTGATAACCTTTTGCTTTGTAGGATGACACCCAACCAACCGAGCCACACCATCAGAACAGATTTTCTACTTCTTGAATCACTTTTGGTAATTTGTGTTCCAGGAATTTATCTCATCTAGGTTACTTATTTGCTAGTGTATAATTGTTCACAGAAATGCACCCCCTTTCGTTTCTGTTTTTTTTATTTCGAATTCTTTTATTTTCTTGGTCAGTTTAAGTAAAGGTTTGTCAGTTTTGCTGATTTTTTTCAATGGAAAAACTTTTGGTTTCAAAAATTCTATTGTTTTTCTAGTCTCTATTTTATCTTATTTCTAATGTTTATTTCTTCCTTCTGTAAACCATTAGTTTTTTTTTTTAAGTCAGATTAATGATTTGAGATCTTTCCTCTTTTTTAAGAAAAGATTTACTTTTTAGAGAGAGAGAGGGAGAGAAACCTCAATGTGAGAGAGATACATGGATTGGTTGTCTTTTGCTCACCCCCTACTGGGGATCTGGCCTGCAGGTGCCCTGCCTGGGAATTGAACTGATAGCCTCTCGGTTTGCAGGCTAGCACTCAATCCACTGAGCCACACCAGCCAGGACCCTCTTCTTTAATGCAGGTGTTTTTTAATTATGAATTTCCCTCTGGTCACTGCTCTCACTGCATCTCCTGTGTATTCACATGTTGTGTTTTCATTTTTATTCATCTCAAAATATTTTATAATTTCACTTGCAATTTCTTCTTTGACTCACTAGTTGTTAGAAGCATGTTAAATTCCATATACTTGTGAATTTTTCAGTCTTCCTTATTCTATTGATTTCTAATCTCATTTCATTGTAATGACAAAAGATACTTTGTATGATTTAAGTCTTCTTAAATTCATTGAAATTTGTTTTTGGCCTAACACATATATGGTCTATCTTGGAGAATATTCCATGTGCTTTTGAGAAAAATGTATATTCTACTGTTATTGGGTGGGCTGTTCTATATATGTCTGTTAGGTCAAGTTGGTTTATAGTACTGTTCAAGTCCTTCATTTCCTTATTGATCTTCTGTCTGATGTTCTATCCATTACTGAAAGTGGATTACTGAAGTCTTCAACTGTTGTACTATTGCCTGTTTCTCCCTTCAGTTCTGTTAATGTTTGTTTTATATATTTTGTGGTTCTGTCGTTTGATGTGTATATAACTTTTATTTTCTTGATGATTTAACCCTTTTATCAATACATAATGCCCTTCCTCATCTCTTGTAACAATTGTTGACTTAAAGTCTGTTTTTTTTTAATCTTCACCCAAGGATATGTTTATTGATTTTACAGAAGGAAAGAGAGAGAGAGAGAGAGAGAGAGAGAGAGAGAGAAACGTTAATGTAAGAGAGAAACATCAGTCAGTTGCTTCCCATAGATGCCCCAACCAGGGATCAAACCCACAGCCTAGTTATGTGTCCTGACCAGGGATCAAACCAACATCTTTTTGGTGTATTAGATGACAGTCTAACCAAATAAGCCACCTGGCCAGAGCTTAAAGTCTGTTTCTTTTTTTTCTTAGTATGACCACCCAGCTCTTTTTGGGTTCATATTTGCATGGAATGTCTTCTTCCCTCCTTTCACATTTCAACCTATTTGTCTTTGGATCTAAAGCAAGTCTTTTGTAGACAGCATACATAGTATAATCATGTTTTTCCATCCATTCTGCCAATTTCTGTCTTTTAATTTGTGAACTTAATCGATTTACCTTTAAAGTACTGCTAAAGAAGTACTACCTTCTTACATTTTGCTATTTGTTTTCTAAAAATTTCATAAATTTTTGTATCTAAATTCTTCCACACTGCCTTCTGTTGTTTTTTTTCCTAGTATACCCTTCTGATTCTCCCTTTGTTTCCTTTTCTATATATCTTATTTATTTCCTTACTGGTTACCCTGGTAACTATAATTAACATCTTAAATTCATATAATCTAGTTTGAATTGATACCAATTTAGTTTCAATAGTGTATTATTAAGGGCTCTTTAGAGGAACAGAACCAATATGTATGTGTATGTGTGTATTTATACATACATACACGTATATCTAGATTTAATTTTAAGGAATCACAGATTTATTTTAAGGAACTGGCTCACATAATTATAAAGACTGGCAAGTTCAACATCTGCAGGGTAGGTTAATTAAGATTCATTAACTGCTTCCCTGATTGGTTTCAGGAGCGTCCAACGTGCAGCACTTGGGGCGCGTGCATCCCAGGATAGCTATGAATTTGGCCCAATACAAAATCGTAAATTTACTTAAAACATTATGAGATTTTTTTTGTGATTACATGTTGCAATGTGTTTAACATGCTGCCCAAGACAACTGTCCTTCTTCCAGTGTGACCCAGAGATGCCAAAAGTTTGAATACTCCTGGTTTAAGGATTTGATTAGAATCCATAATTTTACAAGTTAATTCTGTTATATGGAACTACAAAAGACTCCAAATAGCCACAGCAGTCTTGAAAAAGAACAAAGTTGGAGGAATCACACTATCTGATATCAAACTATATACTACAAGGCCATAGAAATCAAAACAGCATGAGCATAATACTGGTATAAAAACAGACATATAGCTCAATGGAACAGAACAGAGAGCCCAGAAATATATCCATGCCTTTATGGCCAATTAATATTTGACGAAGGATGCAAAAACATACAATGGAATATAGTCTACTCAATGATGTTGGTTGGGAAAACTGAACAGCTACGTACCAAAAAATGAAACTAGATCACCTTCTTACACCATACACAAGAATAAACTCAAAATGGGTTAAAGACTTAAATATTAGACTTGAAACTATAAATATCCTAGAAGAAAGCATAGGCAGCAAAATCTTGGACATTTCTAGAGGCAGTATTTTTTCTGATATATGATCCTGGCCAAGGAAAAACAAAATGAAAAAAATACTAATAATAAACAAACGGGACTACATCAAACTAAAAAGTTTTTGCACAATGAAGGAGTCCATCAACAAAATGAAAAGAGAACCCACAGAATGGGAGAAAATATTCATCAATGATATACTGATAAGGCGTTAATATCCAAAATTTATAAAGAACTTATAAAATTCAACACCAAGAAAACAGTCTCATTTAAAAATGGGCAAAGGACCTGAATAGACACTGCTTCAGAGAGGACATAGAGATGGCCAATAGACATACGAAAAGATGCTCAACATCACTAATTATCAGAGAGATGCAAACTAAAATCACAAGGTATCATCTCACACCTGTCAGAATGGCTATCATCAGTAAATCAATGAACAACAAGTGCTGGCGAGGATATGGAAAAAAGGGAATCCTCTTGCACTGCTGGTGGGAATGCAGACTGGTGCAGCCACTGTGCAAAGCAGTGTGGAGTTTCCTCAAAAAATTAAAAATGGAACTGCCTTATGACCCAGTGATTCCACTTCTGGAAATATACCTGAAGAAACCTGAAACACTAATTTGAAATAATATATGTACACCTATGTTCATTGCAGCATTATTTACAATAGCCAAAATTTGGAAGCAGTACAAGAGCCCATCAGTAGATGAATGGATAAAAAAGCTGTAGTACATTTACACAATGAAATATGACTTGACCATTAAAAAAAAAAGAAAGGAAACCTTACCCTTTGTGATAGCATGGATAGACCTGGATAGTATTGTGCTAAGTCTGGAAAAAGACAGAAAAAGGCAAGTACCATATAATTTCACTCATATGTAGAATCTAATGAACAGAGTAACCTAATAAACAAAGGTGATTCTGTCATTTTTACTAGCTTATTGGTCATTTCATTGGAGGGACTGATTTTTGGAGCATTCACCTCTGCCATTTTCCGTGATGACAGATTTTTTAACTTTTAATTTTGCAATTATTATAGATTCACAGGAAGCTGCAAAGATGGCACAGGAATGCCCTATGTATCCTTCACCCACTTCCCCCTAATAATATCTTACATAATTATAGTACAACATCAAAACCAAGAATTTAACACATACAACACAGTGGATTTGGTTTTTGAGATTTTATTTATTTATTTCAGACAGCTAGGAAGGGAGGGAGAAGGAGAGGGGAAGAAGTATCGATGCATGAGAGATACATCAATCAGTTGCCTGTCACGCCTCCCTAAGATGGGGACCTGGCCCGCAACCCAGGCATGTGCCCTGACCTGGAACTGAACTGGTGATCTTTTTGTCTGCAGGCTGGCACTCAATCCACTGAGTCAAACCAGCCATGGCCAACACAGTGAATTTTAAAAGAGCACTTCAAACCAGACTTAGCCATATGAAATTTCACATCAGGGATAAAATATCCTAAAAGTATTCAGAGAGGAAAAAAAAAATCCACAGAGAATCAAGAATCAAAGTGCAAAACAATGGAGCAATGCCTCTAAAATTTAGAGTGAAAATATTTTTTTATCTAGAATCCTATAGTTCAGCCAAGCTATGAATGAAGCATGAGAACAGAAGAGACATTTTCAGATGTGCCAAGTCTTAGGAGCTACTACGAGATGTCCCTCCTCATCTAGAATAGGACAGAAAAGGAGGAAAGCAATCCAGGAGACCAGGGTTCCAGGAAAGAAGGCAGCCCAAGGAAAGGCCCAGGAATGAGGACAGCCATGCAGCTACTTGGTCAGAGGACAGGGAGACCAGGCTTCCAGCAAGGACAGCACCAGGGAAATCAGAAAGGGATGTCCTACCTGAAAGATCTGACTTGCAGAAAATGATGTTTTAGGGTACTGTTCTGTTGAAAGTGAATGAACAGTGTAGTAGGACTCAGCCAGAGACTTTTAAAAAATAAATTAAATAGGTGAAAAAAATAACATTAGTATTACAGTCAAGGGAGAAAAAGTTATATTAAGAAAACATAATTATGGTATTTAGGTTTGGCTTGGTAATAAAAAACAGTAATGTATTTTTAAAATTCCGGAACCTATGAATGTACTTTTCACCATAAATTATAATATAGCTATATTGGAGAAATGAGGGAGGGAGAGAAGATGTAAGAGAGGTAAAATAATAATTCACCACAAGAGGAAGTCAACAGATAATATCTAAAATTGCTGAATCAAGAAATAGTACAATATGCTTATTTATTTAGAAATCTAGCAATAAGGGGCAGAAACTGCCAAAGAAGCTCAGGGTCCTCTCAGAAGGGCTGAACTTTGCTGTGAAGAAGGGGTAAGTTTTCTTTTATCATCAATTTTTTAACTCTATTTTACCTTAAACTGTGTACATACAACAGTCTGATAAAAATGTGATTTCATTTTGGATTGGAAGTACTATTATCAAACAAAAAGTAGTATCTAATAAAACATAGTGAAACACAGTTCTACCCACCCTTTATGGAGGAGGCCTTCTCTCAAGTTTTTATAATTTGCAACATATTGAAAGAGACTGTACATGTTACTTTGGAAAATGGGAAAATTAAAACTCCCAATTTGGAAGTACCTTGAGTCTAACAGGACAGCAGAATGCTTAAAACCACAGGCACTGCTGCCGCCACCGCCTAACAAGTGGCTCTCCCTGAGGACAGGTCTCAATGGTCAGGTCAACACTTGGGGTCGCTGGTCCCAGGATGGCAGGACAAACTAGCTGCAGGCCCAGGAGAGTGCTTTGCTCTCCTGACCAATTCTACCTCTGACTGGAAAGCTCACGCACGGTACTGTCAACCATACATCACCACTGAGGGTGGGCAGGCCCTAATGCAGCATGTGCAGATTTTTTTGCACAGTGATGAGGGGAAGAGAAGGATACATGGCGGCACCATCTCAAATGACAGATGGTAGCCAAATATGTGGGAAGAGGCTGGTGGTAAAGACTGTCATTCAGGAGGCATGGGAAGGAAACAGGCAGTTATCTAAAAAGAGAAAAGCTATTTAGTGAGATCCCAAGAACTGGCCAGAAAGAGCTGGGAGCTGCTGCTATGCAGAAAATAGACAAGGCACAAGAACAATGTGACTAAACACTGGCACGGGGCAACAGGGCTCTGAGCAGGGCCGGCTCCCAGGACCATGACCCAGCAGTCAGGACAACAAAGTGTCAGCTTCATGGTCCTTGTCTTTCTCCTGTCCGAGGTCTTCTTCCTCTGGGTCTCACTCTACAATGGCCCAGCACTGTACCTGCGCCTCGGCTGGACCTTCTGTCCTGGGAGGTCATCACGAGGAACCTGGCGGAAGCTGTGAGTGGGCAGGCAGCAGGTTCCAGGAGATTCCACACCTCTCCCAGACTGGGCTGTTGAACCGTATTCAGGATTCGCTTTTTTCTTCCTTTCTTTTTTCTCTCTTTCTTTCCTCTTTGATTTTTCAGGTGAGGCATCTGATTAAAGATTGAGGCAGATTAGTATGAGGAAACTGAATGTGACAGAAGCCACAACGGAAAGTGACCCCATCGCACACACAACACTGCCCACTCACACCGTGCTCCCCCTGTGGGCAGGCCCTCCACGTGTGGTCGCCTCAGTGGTGCCTCCAGGGAAGAAGAGAGAGGCGGCCACAGACCATGACTTTGGCTTCAAGGTGAAGATGTCTGGCAAACCTAAACGTCAATGACTTAAGAAAAATCAGCAAGTTCTTAAAGAAGCCCGAACCCTGCGGCTCTCATTTGCTGACTGAGGCACCAAATGTGTACTCAGATGCTGCTGGCAGCAGCCAGCCAGACTGACCGTGGGAAGTGAGGCCCAGATCAGCAAAGCAAGAAAGTCAACAAGGTGAGGAGTTTCAAGGCAGGACAGTAAGGATTTCCTGAACAGAGACAGCAGGAAACTCAGACTTTCCTATGAGGTAGAAAGATCACTGAAGTGTCAAATCAGTTCTGATAGTCCAGCCACTGCTGACCTAAGGAACCAAGGGATGTTTGTGTAGCTCAAGGAGGTGCTAAAAATGGCTTTGGCCACTAAAAGGAAATGGTCAGGTGCTGGCCTGAGGGAGCAAGGAGGTGGGCCAACTTTCTCGCAGCATTGGTGCAAGGACAAAGTAGTCTGCATGAGAATGTGTGCAAATACTTAAATCCTACTCCAAATGAGAAAGTCCTGCCATTATCTCAGCCTCTAACACTGTCTGGACCTAATAATGAACACCCTTTATTATGTACAAGTTGTAGGAAAGGTGACCAAGTACTTCATTAGAGACAAGATAACAAGCATTCGGGTTTCCCTTGAAAATAAATCCTGCCATGAAACAAGGAGATGAATTAGGAAGAAGATGAACCTAGTGATTTTCTCTCTACAGAAGATACTATGGAGCACAGAGCTGGAGATTTGCATGCAGCTCCATCTCATATACACCCTTCCAGCACTGCACACCATGCACGAGGTTAGCAAGTTGTTCAATTCTCTACCAGGGTAAAGAATAATGTAGTTACCACAGTTCATCACAAGGTGCAGGTGCAGACCCCGTTAGCTCACAGCGCTTTCAGAATTTTCAATTATCCACTCAATAGCAGCCCACCCCTGGAGCAACACAGAAGGAAGGATTCAACATGGTGTAAGAAATCTGCCTCTCACTGCAGATGGCAGCTATAAGCCTGTAATTTAAATGGCAGAAGGACAGTATAGCAATTTTAAAGATACAGCAGTAACCATTCGTGAGCAATCTTTCACTGTAAGCAGGCTGTTTCTCAAGTTCAGAAATAACATGGTATGTATTCTGTCTAAAATTCTTGCATCAGGTTGAGCTGTACTGATGCTGGCACCCCAACCCACACCGTCACTTCTTGAGTGCAGGACGAGGGGAACAGCAGCCACCCTCATGGCCTTCATGCATTGTCCCTAAGTTGAGGCTCCTGAACCCCTGGATGACCTGCCTCTCCATCTCCGTCTCCGTCTCCTGTGCCCACCCTCAGGCTACCAGCTGTCCCAGGCATCTCCCCAACTGACCAGGGATGCTGTCAAATTATAACTATAGCAAGAGGGAGGACTGAGTCTCTATCAGGCCTTCCGCACAATAACCCCTAAGATAAGCGAATAAAGGAATTTTACTTGGCTGCACTGTGTTTATCCTAATTTTTCTCAAAGGTCTGAAGTTTGGCTTCATCCAGTATTCGGCTCCTCCTGGACACACACACCGTCAGTAAGGTTCTGTCTCTTTCCTGGAGGACTCACAGTGGAGACAACGGCGTGAAGCTTCAGGCACTGTGGTTCCCCTGCCTCCCCTGAACTGAGCTAAGCTACTGCATGCATTTTCAAATTGGATTTTTCTAAACAATGGGGGCAGACTGGCTCTCCTAGACTAAATGCAAGCCGTAAGTGGTTTTTCACTAAATTGTGACTTAAGTATGGTAGGAAGGGAAATATGGCTTCCCCAAAAAAGGAGAAAAGGGGAGGGGAAAAGCCAGGTGAGGGACCAAAGCAAGGACAGCCTAGGGAAGACAGGAGCCTCTGAGGGGAGCTAAGGTAAAAAGCCAAGGCCCTGCTCTAGGGAGTGGCATTACCTTGAACTTGCACATACCCAAGCTCTCTTCAACAACTCTGCTGGAGAGGGCAATCTGGATTCCGTGAGTAGTCTGCCTTGCTAAGGCTGAGCCCTCTCCCAGGGACCCTGGGGAGGACAGCCTCCTGGCTGGGTCCTTTCTTGTCTCACCCCGACCAACGCTCACTTCCCAATCCTGCAGAGAATGGCAGCTGGCTCCAGGGAAACTTTGCAAATGGAGAGGTTTGGCCAAAGCCACATAATGCCTATTAAGTATGAAAAATCCGAATATCCTGCCTGACAATGCAAATACATCTTTTTGATGTGTGGGGTTTGTTGTATTAACTGAGCCTATGACATTTTGGCTCTTTGCCTCACCTGAGTTTATCCTGCACTTTTCTCTCGGATGGTCTCCTTTGCTTCTGGTTTTGAATGTAAATGTGGAACATGCTATGGCATTACAAGCTCAACTAGACAGAGGGCCCAGCACTTACGGACTTATAGGACCACACCTGTCACCTGCTTATTCTGGCACTTACCAGCTACAGCACACACGGGACCCAAACTGAGATCCATACCTTCTTTGCATTAGATGATATTGTGCTGGCCATTAAACTTTCCAGATAGCTGCCAAAGCTGATCCCCTTCACACTGATGATGGCTTCTTGTGTGAGCACAGTCCTACAGAAGAGCAAGCAGTAAAAGGCTGAGCAGCCCTAAGAGCGGGGAGGCTCCACCCCGCCCTGACCTTGGAGTTCAACATGTCAATGCCAGGGGGAGACCACGTACATTTCAGGGTTCTCTGGATGGGGTGTGTACACCAACCTCTCCTTCACCGACACCAAGTTTGTGAGTGTGATCTTAAAAAAAGGAACAATGGCTTTAGGTTCTACTTGTCTTGCATTTCTTTCCAAACCATCTGCCCACACTCTCCCATCCCCAAATCAACACTTACTGAAGCCAGAACAGGAGAAACATTTAGGCCCAGAAGGCACGTTAAGTCCTGGGGAAACCATGTCCTGGCTCCTGTTCCTGGTGACTGCCACATGCCCTTTCTCCACCTCACCCAAACCTGAGCTGGGCCTGGCCGTCAAGGGACACGTGTCCCCACTTTTTGAAAGCTTGCGTATTCTACTTTGCTTTCAGGAAAGACCTACATTAGTCCCCGTTTTTGCTAACTGAAAGAAATCTGAAGAGGATCTTTGCTTTTATGAAAGAAGATGAAAAGCAAAAACAGCGTTCAGCATTTGTTTTGCAGCGAGTCGTCAAAGAGGCAGTGCGCACCCCAAGCAGCGAGAGCAGCCCCTCCAAGCTCCTTCCCCGGGAACCACACTCAGCATCTCAGCATCAAGCCCCACAGCTGCGAACTGTGTCTGTGAGCATCTGTGCTTCATCTCCATTTATTTTGTGCATCGTTACCAAGATGTGTCCTAAAGTAAATCGCTTCTCCACTTTATATCACTTCGGCTTACCTAAGGTTTCATAGGAACTTTCTGCCTTCGGATACTGGGGGGGACCTATATTTTCAAACTGCCAAACCCTCAGCAGAAAAGGACAAAATATTCATGGACTAGCAAGCAGGTGAACAAGCAGGAAGCTTCCCACCCACCAGTGGCAGACTCTGGCTTTGGGACACTGTGTCCTGGGGGTTCACAGGGCAGAGCCTTAAATCCGCACAGACTGACAGCAAAGCTGTATAGGTGTTGTCTGCTCCAGTGCAGTCTCCTGCAAACCAAGTAGCCACTCATGTACACTTTTAATATTTTCTATTAAAACCTATTTAAAAACTGGAGCTCTACAAGAGCTTTGTCCCGCAAAATTTTCAGTAATGTTAGAAATGTCCTATATCTGTGCTGTTCATTATTGAAGCCAGTAAACGTGTGTGACTAATGAACGCTTGAAATGTGGCTAGTGTGACTGAGGCAATTATTTTTTAATTCTACTTAATCCTAATTAATTTAAATGGAAATAGCCACACGTGGCTGCCACATTGGCCAATGGAATTTTATCCTTGTTAAACCCAACATACTCTCTTAGCAAAGAGCCAATTCCAATATAAGACAATTTTTTTAAAAAATTTTAAGTGGTCAAAAGCAATATAGTCTTCTGGTACTAATAAACTTAAAGCACTTGTTTTTTTGGCTCATGTAATAATCTTCCACTGAACTCCCCTGCCTGGCCTCACTGTTCTGGCAAAATGGTTATCTGGGAAATCTTTTTACTCCTGTTAAGTGCAAAGTAATCAAGAGTCCCATTAGTTAGTTATTACAGTGTTTGGAAATATTTAACAACATTAACAATTAAACTCAGGTTAGGTATTGTCATTTTATGTGCAATATTTTTATGCCAGGCTTGGTATTTTCATTCATTAATCTTCATAAACCTTATTTTCATTCATTAATCCTCATAACAACATTATGAGATTTGTTCTGTTGGGGTTTTTTGGTTTGTTTTTTTTTTTGAGACAAGGAATGTGAGATCCAGAAAAGGTTAATAAGGAGCATATGCAGTCATACAACTATTCAGTGATAATTTCAGGACATAGGTTCACAATTGTCCTACTCCATACCCTATTCCCTTTCCACTAGACCTCACTGTAGCATGGACAATCCTTCTTTACTGAAAACCAAGTTTTGTGAAGGACAAAAATGGAATTTTCCAAGAAGAGGAGAGAAAACATATTACGTAAATTTTAAGGAGTGGCGGAAGGCCAGAGAACACCTGCAAGGCTCCCTGTGACTTACAAAGAAGGGCTGCCTGGGACAAGGGAAGGGGGCCATGGGCAAAGGTCACAGATGGTGTGCCAAAAACGGCAAGTGGTTCAGAGCCTAATCTTGCAGCACACAGTGAAGATCCACACAGTGAGGTTTTATAAAGTAAACCATGTTCCCGGCCCATGCATTCTCCCCAACATGTTTTATGAATGTGCAATAGGCCATATGAATTGTTTTAATTGAGAGAAATGAGAGGGAGTAAAGGAAGTAAGTTGCTTTTAAATTACTGCTAAATTCAAAGAAAAATAAAATAAAATTACTGCTAAAAATCACCTCTGCTAAAGGAAGTTGGGATAGCAGTTATCCTGGGTGTGGGGGTGGAAATCCTAGGAAGGAGCAAAGGCGGGGGATGGGGAGGCGTGGCGGCTCCTCACCTTCTGCCCCCTGATCTGTCTGCAGGTTACATAGGTGTGTTCAATCTTTCACAATTCATCATTATGTGCATTTTTCTATACATTTATTGTACTGGAATAAAAAGACAAGTAAAATACTACTAAATAAATTCAGCCTATTAAAAATAAACGGTCACTTAGACCAAAGATGGGCTGGAAATAAAACTAATGAAGCCATTACACACCATCACCAAGACACACCAAGCACCTTTCTCATCTTAGACCATCGCTTACATTAGTGGAGCAAAGTTCCATTTTCTTTTCCACTGGATCCACAACAGAATGTTCTTTGATGTATGTCAAAGTCCTAGTGGTTCCCAAAATCTAAAAAACAAAGCAAAACTAGCATAACGATGTGTTAAAATTTCATTTTGTAGCATTAAACACTAAATACCATTTCATTTACTAATTCACTTATCTACACAGCTGGGGGCACAGCGATGAGCAGGCCCTTTCAGCAGCTCCGGGTTCCTGTTCTAGCAGGTGGGACGGACATTGAATAAATGAATGAATTCAAGTAAAATTGAGTATGACAGTAATAAATGCTTTGATTAAAAAAAAAAAAAACAGGTTGGGGGTTAGCAAGAGTGCAGGAAAGGCCCCTCTGCCAGAAGCAGGCCCGGGAGGGAGGGAGGGAGGGATGGTGCCACGCAGAGTTCGGGGGTTGGAAGGAGGGCAACTATGTGAGGAGGTACGGGCGGGGGGTGGGGGGGCAGCCCGTCTGTGAGCCGAGAGGCTGAAACAGACCCATCCCTCATGGTTCTCAGAGGAAAACACCCTGCTGGCATCTTGCTCTCAGACTTCCGGCCTCCAAAACAGAAAGAAAATAAATGTCTGTGATTTAAGCCCCCAAGCTGTGGTATTTTATTATGGCAGCCTGAGCAAACAGATCCAACGCTGCGGAGTGACACAGGAGAAGACTTGGTAGGGGGTGAGGGGATGGGGGACGCTTAGGGTGTGGGAGCCATGACATCTGTCAGATATGTCAGGACCCATGGAGATGGAGAGTTTAATGAAGTTTACAGAGAAACAGATCATCTCTTGGGCTTCCAAGAAATGCAGAGTGGATGCTCTGGGTCTAACGGAAGTTTGTCATTTCCTGCAGATGGGCTCCAGCCCGGGCAAAGCAGGTATAGCCAGAGTGATGCAGGTGTAGTGGGAGCAAAGCAGGTACCAGCTGTGTGGTGCAGGTATAGTGGGGCAGGGCAGGTACCAGCAGGGCAGGCAGCTTCGGGCTCACCGCTCTCACGAGGCCGGGCAGCCCCCACTCAGTGCTGAGGAGGCGGTGGCTGTGAAGCCGGCCGCTGCCGTCCACACTGCGCTCCAGCACATCAACTCCCACGACACAGGGGTTCATCGGATTTGGGTACTTTCTCATAGCAGCTTTGATGACCGTGTCCCAAGGGTGGCTGGAGGGAAAATACAATCACCCAGCATAAGCAAGCAATCCCTGTGATTTGTAAAGTGTGCCAGGGTGGCACTGGGAGCCAGAGATGCTGTGTGCCACAGTGTGAAATGAAAAAAAGAAAAAAAAGCTTTTTCTTTTGGTTTTAGTCAAACAAATATATCTGAGGAGTTCAGCTCCAGACCCAAATCCTGGATTCTGTGATCCTTCTGAGCTGACCTCAGGCAGTCAGAAGGCTTTGCCACCAGGCTTTGCTAGGGACCTGGGGCACAAACAAGAACTTGGGCCCTGGCAGCTACACTCAGCACGTCCACAGTTCTATTCTAGTCCAGGAGGCTCCACGCAGAGGCTTCCTCACCGCTGGAGGCCCTTGGCTGAGGCACGTTCCTTCCCTGTGGCTCAGCACTTGCCCTGTCTCTGCACTTCTGCCTCCCGCTTTGCCCTCCCTCCAGTTCATAAAGAGGTAAATGCTTTAGTTTGCGGCTACTGGGCAGTGAGACATTTATCCCCATCCCCTGCCTGTCACCTGCCCTCCCCTGCTGTTCCATGGAGGTGATAAAACACTAGGGAGTTGGCACCATTTTTGACTCTTGCCTTCACTGCTGCAGCACACAGAGGCTTGGCTGTGACTGACTTAGGCTTCTTGTCCTAAGAGACGTCCTCAACACCTAGCAGCTTGACACCATGAGAGCAAACATGCCTGCCTTATGCATATCTAGAACAAGCTACTGCTCCCAGCTACTGATGTGCTATGAAGAAGCAACTACTCTGTTTCAACTTCTAAATGGTATGTAAGTTGAAGAGACCACACATTGTTCTGGTTATAAACATAGGCATTTGCGTGGGAGACTCAGGTGTTCCTGTGCTGACCCTGAGGCTTCCCCTTGCAAGATGCCACCATTCTTTCTCTGGCTCTGAGCCCTTGAGGTGAGGGGATGGATACCTGTGTCCCCAATATGTTTCTTGCCATCTGAGGTCCCAGGTCAGGTACTCGCTGCCCCACTGCTTTCCCAATCTCTGTACTTATTTAGGCTTAAAACCTCAGACACAAGGCTGGTGGAGCCCAGTCAGCTGCCATTGTGGTGTATTCAGGTTGAACCTTCCCCCCACAGCACTTAATGTCCTATTTCTTCCTTCCTTCCCGATGTGTGTGCTTCCAGGAGGCATTTGAGCCTTGTGCAAACATAGGTGCGTCTCAACGACACCACCATTTTTCCCAGATGTACCCAAACATGTTTGAAGAACATCTGCAGACACAGCCCTGACTCAAGAACTCGGCCTCTGTGCACACATGCACATGTACACACACTTTAAAAAAATTAAACTGGGATCCTGTTCGATACATGGACTTATCATTTGCTTTTTATATTTAAATGATAAACACTTTTCTATATCATAAAGCTATTTTCAGGTATGTGATTATAAATAGCTGCATAATGTGTCATCTTGTGGATATTTATATTTAGCCATTCCTCAATGGTACGTTATTTAGATTGCTTCCAATTTTGCACTGTAAAATAAAGATAGTAGTGAACATTTGTCTACACTGGTCTTTCAATATACCTAATTTTTCCTTAGGATAAATTCCTACAAATGAAGTTACTAAATCAAATATTAAAGATTATAAACATATTGAAGGGTCTTGTTCCATATTTGATAATCCTTTTTAGACAGTATAATTTATTGACCATTAATCTATTTTATCCTCATAAAACTCTTGTCCCAGGTAAAAAAGTTAACAGCAGTGCCTAGAACAAGGTCTTCCAGCTCCCTACCTTATATTCTTTCCATTACATTCCATGGCTTCTAAGTTGTCAGGGCCTGGTCTAGAATTCCCTTTCTTTAATAAAGAAACACTTTTATAAACCATGAAATCATGTCACTAAATTGATGCACCCACTGGCTTTAGCATAAAGAGATGAAGGAGCTGAGATCTGGCTGGTCCAGATGATTCTACAGGATACAGAGAGTAAGCCCTTTCTTCTCTGAGGAAGAACTGTCAGGTACATGGCCAATCCAAGATCTTGGGGACGAAGGAGAATCTAGAGATAACGTGAAAGCAGAAGGGGTCCTAGTTCCACAGACAGGCAGGCTTTCTCAGCAAAATGACCTGTGGGCCTTGTAAGTCAAGTTCCGAAGGGTTGTTCTCATAAAAACCATTACTTTAAACAGAACAGGCTATGCCTTCTAAAATTACTTAAAACCACCTACAAATTGAAGAAATATTTATATTAGGCATATCTCCCACATACGTTTCTTTTATTTAGAAACCTTGAATCTGTTAGCTAATGATTTAAACTAAATACAGCCTGCTTAATATACTCACATAAACAAGTCCACTAATTACAGCAGGGTGACCCCACAAGTTAATATAGACATCAACAGAACAATGGAGGAAAGGGTAAACGTAATAAATTTTTAAAATAACAAAGTACAGAAGTCAGTATCACACACTTCTTGGTTAAAGAAAGTAGCTGAGCCCTGGCTGGTGTGGCTCCGTGGATGGAGCAGTGGCCTGCGCATCAAAAGGCTGCCAGTGTGATTCCCAGTCAGGGCACATGCCTGGGTTGCAGGCCAGGTCCCCGACGGGAGGTGTGCGAAAGGCAACCAATCAATGTTTCTCTGTCACATCCATGTTTCTCTCCCTTTCTTTCTCCCTCCCTTCCCCTCTTTCTAAAAATAAATAAAATCTTTTTAAAAAGAAAAATAGCTGACACTCATTCAACTGGCAAAACCCAAAGTCTGGACACATCGAGTGTTGGAGAGGATGGCAGAGAATGGGAAGACAAGGCCGCTGGTGACAGAAGTCGGCACAGGCCCCAGAGTGCAGTTTCCCGAGAGAGAGCAAGAAAGCATGACCCACCTCCCCGTCAGCACTCTCAGCTGCCTGGGTTAGGCATACCAGGAAATGCTGACTAAGTTTATGAGCAACAGCCTGTGGTCATGGCTCACAGTCGCCATGACGGGGTGGGAACCCCTCCCATTCCGCCAGGGGCACAGGAAGCCTCTATGCCCCTCTGCAAGGCAGCTACATGGAGCAAGCTGGTGCCAGGACAGTGGGAGGATTCACTCCCTTCCCACACTGGGAAGTGGGAAGGAATAACCAAGGCTCTCTCTATGCACAGTGAGGGTGTCAGAAACATGAAGTGATATGAAATTATAGGCTGTATGGGATTTGCCTAAAATAAACTGAAGGAAGGGACAGTGGGGAGGGACACATGAAACCAGACTGGCTGTGAGAGACAGAATGTCAACCTGGAAGACGGCACTAGGCACTCACTATTCTAGTCTCCACTTTTTATTTTAAATCCTCACCCAAGAATGTTTATTGATTTTAAAGAGTGAGAAAGAGAGACAAAGAGGAACATCGATGTGAGAGAAACTTCAATCAGTTGCCTTCCATACACCCCCAACCAGGAATGCAACCCACAACCTAGGTATGTGCCCTGACAGGTGATCAAACCCTCAACCTTTTGGTGCATGGGATGATGCTCCAAGCAACTGAGCCACCCAGCCAGGGCATTCGAGTCTCTAATTTTTCATAATTTTGAAATTTCCATGATAGCAAGTTTAAAAAACAAAAGGGATGAAGGCAGCCACAAACAAGGCAGCGCTCCTGCTCCCTACCCAAAGTGACGCTGGGCCCAGACCAGCGGTTCCGAGTGTGGTCCACATACCCAGAGGCTCCCATACCCTTTCTGCAAGGTCAGAACTGTTTCGTAGTTCAACTAAGACATGATTGGTCTTTTTCATCCTACCGACATTTACACTTCAAAAGTGGTGGCAAGTAAAACTGCTGGTCTCTCTCCACGAATTAAAGTCAGGGCCTCAAACCACACTTGTGGTCACTGCTCACTGCTGTGCACACAGGAAAGCCACATGGGTGCTTCTCAAGAGTATCCATGATGATGCTCTGACTGGTGTGGCTCAGTTGATTGGATGTCATCCCACAAAGCGAAGGGTCGCAGGTTCGATTCCTGGTTGGGGCACATGCCTGGGTTGCAGGCTTGGTTCCTGGTCGGGGAATGTGCAAGAGGCAGCTGATGGATGTTCCTCTCTCACATAGATGTTTCTCTCCCTCCCTTCCCCTCTCTCTAAAAATAAATAAATAACATTTTTAAAAATAAAAAGACATCCATGATGAAATAGTAAAATTACTCATTTGATTTCCTGAGTCCCCTTCTCATTAATTTTAACCACATCATGGCTAGGGCCCAAACTAGGATTAGATACCCCACTACGCTTGGCCCTAAGCCTTAACTTATATAACAAAATTATTCACCAGGGACTACTAGCGACAGCCTAAAACTCAAAGGACTTGATGGTGCTTTATGTCCCTCTAAAGGAGTCTGTTCTGTAACCAATAAATCCCAATAAACCTCAGCAACCCTTGCCAATTCAGCCTATATACCACCATCTTCAGCAAGCCCTGAAAAGGAATCATAGTAGGCACAAACACAAGACATAAAAGGTCATAGGAAGAACGCAGGGAGTGCTTCTGCTGTGCACAGAGGTTTACAGAGGCCGGCGAAGCGCTGGGCAGCTGTTTGGGTGGTGGACCCAGCTGGTTGCTTCTTTCCACACCCATCACATCTACTTGAAACAACTCAGGGACAAACTTTGGTTATTTAGTCTGGGTTATCTGACAGATATTTTCTCAAAAATTAATGAAATGAACACATCATTTCAAGGAAAACAACTGATAGTATTTATTGCCAAAAATAAAATTTGAGTTTCAAGTGAAAATTGGAATTTTTGAAAACCTGTATCCACTCCCATGACCTAATGAGAACCCCATACTGTAACCAGGTAAATCCATATATTCCAAATGACCAGTGCGAGATGCCACAAAAATCATACACCAGTGAAAGGCTCATTTAAAGCATAGGACAGACCAATTACTCTGGTCATTATGGTTTCAGATTTTACACTGTAACTACATTGAGAAACTACCACTTATTTTCTTGTAGTAGCAAAAGTAGCCACAAATACTTTTAAAAACTTAAAATATTCCTACCTTTTCCAATAGGGTTTTATTCACACACTGTGTGAGGTTGGGTTTTATTCATATACTTCAATGAAAACAACAGATTGTAAAACACTGAGTGCAGAAGCAGATGAGTATCAAGCTATCTTCAATTAAGCCAGACACTATAGAAAAGAGGAAAAAAAACAACAAAAAACCCAAACAAAAACAAAACAAAACACACACACACAAGGAAATAGTATCACTCTTTTTATTTGGGGAGTTTGGAAAATATAGGATTTTTAAAAAATAAAAATGTTATCTATGTTAATGTAATGGGTTTACTATTAATTTTAATGAATTAATAAATATTTTTTAATTTCTCAGTTTTAATTAATAATATGGTAAATATGGATACCTATAATTCACATAAACAAAAACTGTTTGGGGTCCCAATTTTCTAAGAGTGTAAAAAAGTCCTGAGGCTGAAGAGTTTGAGAACTGTTGGCCTGCGTGGTTAAGTTGACCAGAAATATATACACAGGTGGTCACTGCAGTGTAATATGTAATGAGGGGGGAAATTTATTGTCCTTTCAGTCAGAGAAAGGATAAATTTTAACATTCATACAATGCAGTATTATATAGCTATGATATATGTGTGTGTGTATACAAACACACACACATACACACACAATCTCAAAACCATACTATTAAGAGGAAAGGGAAATTGTCAAAAGATCTGTCCAAGCAGATGTCACTGATTTCTATGTTAAAAAAATAAACACAGCACACATAAATGTAGTCAAATGGAATATATATACCTTCAGAGGGACACCCACCAAATTCATAATGTTATCTGCCTGTGGGGAGCGGGGGCGGGGGGGGGGGGCAGTGCTACTGCTCCTGGGAGGTGCTTCAACTCTTATCTGTAATGTTAAATGTCTCTCTTTCTCTCTCTTTTTTTTTTAAAAAGGCAGTGAGGGGAGGGGCATTCTTTTACCTGCTTCTAGCTGAAAAGAAGGTTTGCTTTAGGGCATCATTCTCCAAAGACCTCAGTTCCCTGAGATAGACATTACCTACCAGAGAGGGACCTTTCCTGGTAAGTTGTTGGAATTCAGAAGACGAGGCCTGTCCAGAAAGTATCCAGCCACATAACATGAAACGTAGAGACATTTATTGAAGAAGATACAAGAAACACTGTACACAGGACAATGAGGCCTCAGTCCCCTTCAAAGTTGGCACCTTGGGACACAGTTCTCCCAGTCACCATCAGCTGCCCTGGCATGTTTTCCTGAATCTCACTGACATCTGAAATATCTTCCCTTTCAAAGGCGATTTTAGTTTTGGAAAAAGCCGGAAGTTGCAGGGCGCCAAATCTGGGCTGTAGTGGGGGCTGAGTCACCTGGGTGATTAGATGTTTCACCAAAAATCTCTGCACAAAACATTATGCACAGGCGTGCTAGTGTGATGAAGCTGCCAATCACCAGTTGCCCATAGCTGTGGCCTTCCGAATCATCTGAATAGTTTCCACAGAAGAATGTTCAAGCTTAATACAAATTTTGATGCAGATTTGTTGTTCTACTTGCTCAGTCATTTTGAATGTGAGGGCCACACAGTGCTCAGGCTCGCTCAATGACATCTACCTCCCCCACTGACTAGTAAAGTGAAGTCGTCATTATTCATGCACATGCATTCCAGCCCACTCTCCTTGGCTGCCAGGTTACATCAATGTCAGGAAAACCATTCTCATTATATTAACATTGGCTGGACTTTTTCCCAACAGTCCTCGTATATGGCCTCGGATCTCTACCGGAAATCTTGTATTCGCTGTTCCTGAAGATTTTATAGGTCTACCTGAAACCTAAGTCAGTGCTGTGAGGATGAAATTTATAAACCCATTAACTTTTAAATGCCCCTTTCTATACTTTATCTTTCAGTTCTATATTTTTAATTACCATTTCGACAATCTGAAATCCTGTCTAGGTAACACATACTAATTCAGGTGGCTTTCTCAGAGTTCTCCAATTCTATAGGTATGTTTATATTGCTCTCTGCTGTGCCTGATCTGCAGTCCCTGGGGTTTCTTTGAGACATGTACAAAAGAAGAACTCTTGATATGATCAAAAGTTTTTGTGGCTAATTATTTCTTGTCTTTCCAGAGCAAATTTTTTAATTTTTGATCAAATATTCATCTGACAGTACAACGCGTATATGAAGAAACAAGTAGAGAAAGAAAAGATCTATGATCCTCAAAGAAAAAAATAAATCCGAGATTTTAAAAGACTAAGCCAGGCGAGAACTCCACAATAAGCCCAGTCAGAAAGCTGGGCTGGTCCAGTGCACATTACTACATCACTGGCAACCAGTCAGCCATAGGGGCCTACCCAACATCATCCTCAGCCCGATGCATTCCACATTTATCAATTTTCATTACAACCCTTTGCTTTTAGCTTCTATGCTTTAAATGAGCCTTTCACTGGTGTATGATTTTTGTGGCATCTTGCACTGGTCATTTGGAATATATGGATTTACCTGGTTACAGTATGGGGTGCTCATTAGGTCATGGGAGTGGATATAGGTTTTCAAAAATTCCAATTTTCACTTGAAACTCAAATTTTATTTTTGGCAATAAATACTATCAGTTGTTTTCCTTGAAATGATGTGTTCATTTCATTAATTTTTGAGAAAATATCTGGGGCAGATATTTTTTCAAAATGGCAGGGGATCAGCACCTAGTCCACAACAGACTGGGAGTTGATTAAAATGCCTTTAGCATGTAACCATCCTCATTTTGAAATGGCATCTTGTCTCCATGAGATACATCAGCCTTTCACTGAGCACCTATGTGCCAGGCACTGGCAGCATGCCAGGGAGACAAAGTGAATGAAGTACTGATGCAGGCTACCGCAGGGACAAACCTCAAAAAAGTTACCCTAAGTGAAAGAAGGCAGACACGAAAGACTGCGTGTTGTATGATTCTACTTCTATGGCCAATCTATAGAAACAGAAAGCAGACTAGCAGTTGCCTGGGGCAAAGGGTGGTAGTGGACTACAAATGGGCATGAAGGGTCTTTGTAGGATGATGGAAAACTGGTCTATGTTGTTGGTTGTACAACTCTAAATTTACTAAAAATTGTTCAGTTATACACTTTCAATTGGCGAATTTTATCAATAGTCACTTTTCAGAGCTGACAATTCACGTCGCTTGTCAACCAACATTTCACCAACTTCTAGAGCAGTCCCTGTTGACTATTCCATGAGAAAACAGCCCCACTGACCAGGCCTCCACAGTATGCAATGACCAAACTTCTCCCCTCTGCCTCTAGAAGGTGCCGGTTATGTCCCACCCTTGGGAGAACTGAGAGAAGAATCTCTGGAGTCATTCTCTCAAGAAACCCTAGCTAAGAAAGGCCAGGAGCTGTACAAAAAATAAACACTAAAATCGAATCCCATCAAGTCCAAAGATTTCATTAAAAATAATTTAGAAGTTTTAACCTCTTGATAAATTATCATAATTATGCCCTATAAAAGGCCAAAGGATGACAATTCCATTTCATGCAGTTTTACTTCTTTTTCAATAATAGTTGACTTCCTCTCACCGCCCCCCCCCCCATGCCTTTGTAAGTGGGGCCGGGGTATTTAAAAATCTATATTCCTTTAAAAAATATTAAAGAATAATTTCAGAGTGTCACAAATGACTTAAGACAAAGACAGCACTTAGGTCACGAGGGGGCTTATAAACAGCTTCCAGTTTTCCATGCTAGCTTGGAGGCCTTCCATAACCACAAGTGCATCCCATGTCACAGCCCGCCACGTGCCTTCTGCACATTTGCCTTCCTCCCGAGCTTCTCGGCTGCTGTGGACCCTTCATTCATAAAACAGGCTTATTATTTGGGGATCAGCTGCACTGCGTAATCTCAGCAAAAGACTGGGCCGCTCTCCAAGCCTCTGCTCTCCTTAGGACCCCGCGCACCTTGCCCCAAGTACACAGGGTGTAGGCGAGATCAGGACTGGCTGGGCTGAGGGGGGCGCACTGTTACCTTGCGGGCCCCTCCCAGCACCGTCCGCCCCACCAGGGGCGCCAGGCCGAGGAGGACGCTCCCGACCCCAGCCGTTCGGCCCTACGAGGCTAACGGAGATGCATCCCCGCGGCTCCGCCCTCCTTGGGCCGGGAAAGGAAAGGCCGACCCCCTCCCCAGCGCTTCGGTAATCCCACCACGGCCCCCAGCGGTCAGGTGGCGCCTGCACAGCACCGCTTTGCCGTCTCGCTACCGGGCGACATCCCTCGAAGGGATAGCTTGAGCCTCTTTAGAAGGGCGAGGCCGCGATCTGGGAACGATTCCTGCCAGGATGGTAAGGCTTGGCGAGGGGCCGGGTCTGCGGTACGGCCTTTCTAGGCCTCCCCCAGCGGTGCGGGGGCAGAAGCCAGCGCCGGCCGACACCCCACGGTGGCCCGCAGCCCGACCTCACCCGAACACGTGCTCCGAGCTCCAGACCTTCATCGCCGCCGGCCGCCGGGCACAGGCACCCGGCTCCAGACTCTGGGCTCGCGGCTGCTGCACTCCTGACGCCGCGCGTGGGCGGGACCTGTGCAGGACAGGGCTGGGCGAGGACCCGGCGCTCGCCTGTGCCTGTCAGGTGACCACGCGAGCTACGGCGACTAAAAATAGGAATGCGGGGCGCTCCTGTTCCTGCTGGCTAGGGATCTGGGCCGCAGGGAGATTCGCAGACAGCACCCCGCCGCAAGTGCAGGGACAGAAGTGGAAGCTATTCTTATAGTTCAGTTGTCCACATTCTCAAGAAGCCCTTTTCCAGCCAGGCGGTTTTCTACTGTTGGGAAATATGAAGAAAAACAAAATCTGCCCACCCAAAAAGCTTTCCACGGGAGTAGGGAAAAAAAATAGTTACAATATTGAATAAGCATTAACCCATAATGTGATGCGCCTCACAGACAGTCTGCTAAAGAAACTGCAAAGATAGCAGGAAATCTCACCGTTTTACAGATACAGGCAGGTGCAACCCGTCACATTCAAGTTCTCAAATGAAAGGACTTGACAGCACCATTTGTCACACGGAGTTCATCCTAAATGCACTTGGCAATTGCAGCAGCCATTTGTGTTTGCTAATTTATCTAAAGTGGAAATAGATTTCCCATGTTGATATAGGAGGCAGGTTTGCAACTTGGAGCCAGGTGCTGCCTGGAAGTTAGGCTAATATTTCAAATTGATGGCTCCCAAGACACTGAGAAAAAAACATTCCTGGGTTGTAAAACTGGGAAAGGCCCACTTAGCTTTTAAAAACATTTACATACACCTCAAAAAGACAAAGAACTTACAGGTTTTCTAGAGTAAAAGCTCTAAGGAAAGGGAAAGGAAGGGCTCTTTTCCCTTTGCACCAAGGAAATTTAACTTTTTCTTTCTAGATTTGTGTTTACACTGCACTACCAGAAACAAAGTTCAAGTGCAAAGAAACAAGATGATGGTTTTGAGAAGACGGTAACCTTCTGCAGGATGAGAAAGGGCATGGGAACATGGGGGCAGAAACTGCATGGAGCCTGCTCCTGAGTGCAGCACCTAGCCCAGCCCCCACATCGAGGAGCATTGGGAGCTTACTTCTGTGATGAGACAGTGAAGTGGAAAGCACACCAGTGTCAGCCAGAAGACCTGGGTTAGGGTTCGGACTCCCCATCCACTCACACCTAGGGCTTCAGCTCATAGCTACCTTCCTGAGTTAGTGCTACTATCCCTGTTTTATAAATGAGCCAATGGGGGTTCCAGGAAGTGTAAAAGTTCTCTCAATGATCACATACTGACAGAGAGAGCCAAGATGAGCCGAGTTTGTAAGATTTCCCCTCACAACATACTATGGTGACTCAAAGTTATAACCAGGCCAGTTGTGGAACACTTCCTATATGATAGGCACTGAGCTAGGTACTGTTATGTTTTTCTTTTTTTGATACAATTTTTATTTATTTATTTTTAGGGAGGGAGAGAGAGGGAGGGAAACATCAATGTGTGGTTGCCTCCTGTGTCCCCCCTTCTGGGGACCTAGCCCACAACCAAGGCATGTGTCCTAGACTGGGAATCGAACCTGCAACCCTTTGGTTTGCAGGTCAGCATCCAATTCACTGAGCCACATCAGCTGGGGCTAGTTTGGTTTTTTAAAAGAGTCATCATTTACAATGTGCATTTTCCACAAATATGTATTGAGCACAAGGCTGAAGAAATTGGGCTGATGGTTAAGAATGAGAAGACAATGTAGGTGAGACATTTGGTGCAATTGGCTCCAGTTCTGAAAGGGATGAGCTGCTGAATTTGCTCTTCTTGTCGTACGGGGAAACTAAGACCCCACCAGTAGTGTCCTGGTACAGAGGCACATGGTTTAGTAGTAGAACTAGGGGCCTGAAAACTGGGGTGAAATGAGGACCACCTTTAGTCCCTAGATGATTATAGCAGCCTCACCACTACCTGCACCCACCTCACTCTCAAACCAATTGCGCACAGCTGTCACTTCTCATCAGCCAAGCCCAGCTCAGGTGTAATCACAACGGTGCAGGTCCCCCTTTGTAATTGCATCACAGCCTGTACACCCCTCCCTCTAAGACTCACCACAATGTATTATGATCATCTGCTTGTTTATCTGCCTCTCACACCAGGATAAAAAACTTTTTGTGGTCAGGAACTAGGTTATCATTATTCTAAGTATTTCCAGAGTCAGAAACATTGATGCCCAATAAATAAATAAATGTGTTGAAACAAAAGCTATAGCCCTACTTGAAGTTCTATGCTGTTCTCTCCATTTTTGGTCAAAGTCCACCCTCTCACAGCCTCGCTTCACCAGACTACCTGCGCATTGAGGAGCATCAGCAGCTGCTTTGCGTCGGAGTTTACTTTGCATGGGAGTTTATAAGAAATAGAAACCCTAGGCCCATCTCAGCCCCGGCACACAGCATCTCGGGGTGGGGGCAAGCTTTGCTGTTCCATAGCTTTTCCGGGGATGCTGACGCGGACATAGACCGACTGTCACACCCCCAGCGTGACTGGGCCAGGTGCTTCCTTGTCTTCTTTCAAACATTTGCTCATATTGTTTCTTCCAGCCAGAATGCACTCCTCTTTCCTTGTTTTGGAAGCATATTCCAGATAAAAAGATCAGAACATGCAAAATCGCAGAAGTATGAGGAGATATAGTACTCTTAGGGGCCTGGAAGTCACCTGTGAGGCTGGATTGTGGGGTCTCAGAAAGAAGTGGCAGGAGTTGAAGCTGGAGAGTTAGGCAGGAGCCATGTTGAGAAGGGCCTTATACTTCAATATGAAAAGTTCAAATTTCTTCTCAAAGAAAATGAAGTTTTGATGGGTTCTGGTGTTTGAGATATTTCAGGCAAAAGTGTTCAAAATATCAGCAAAATCCAAAATGTAGACTTGGCTGGCCGCAGGGCCTGAAGTGAAATGGAGATAAAAATGCTATATAACATCCTTCTGAAGAGCCTTGTCTTTCCCAAGGCTGTATTTGGTGCTGCCTCGATGCCATGGTGTCTTCCTGCATCATTGCACCTGTTGGTCTGTACCACAAGTGTGTGTGCGGCATCTTGGGGAGAGGGAGCCATGAGCATCTCATCTTTCTATTCCTGGGACCTGGAACATATGTAGTAAGGGTTTGACATGTTCATTCCACTGAGTAAATAGAAGGGACCTTGTCCAACCACCTTTTGGGAAGATAATGGGCAACAGTTTGGAGAGGTAGGACATCCATCCCAAACTTGGCTGCACGTTGAAATCATCTAAGGAGGAAAGTACCTGAAATCTACTAGGCTTTTTTATTTAATTGGACTACTAGGTAGCCTGTGCGTCAAGAGCCTGAAAATTTCCCCAGGTGATTCTAATGTGCATCTGAGCTTGAAAACTGTGAAGTGGAGAGAGTGAAAGCCTGTGAGGAGACCAGTCTAGAAGCTGCTGCTCTGGCACAGGGGAGAAATAAGCACCTGGACAGCACGGTGGGGATGAGACTTGCAAAAAAATTGGGTTTCGGGGACAAGGTAAAGAAGAACTTCCCACACTCCTTCCTTCTTGTCCTGTCACCAAACAATTTCTCCATCGTCCCTGTCACTTACTGAAGACCTGGCAGCTTGGCTCATGGGGTGCCTCTCTCCAACCCCACCGCTTACCATTTCAACATCTATGTGGATGATTCATCCAGAAACCCAGGCATCTGATCCCTTCCTAACTTGAACCACCTTCATCCTCATTTCACTTCAGCTGCCCATGCCACCAATCTTGTGGATGTTTTAAGTTCCATCTCACACATTTCATGCTCTGATTTCCCATTACAGAAACCCTCTACCTCCCTAACAGAATGATGATTTTGTTTAGATACCACCTCTCACACATCAGTAAGTGCCTCAGGGAAGGCCCACCCCACTCACTTCAGGGCTGATGACCTAGCACTGGCCAGTGAGCAGGAGGGCCAGCTGTGAGGCTGCTGGGAAAATGCTCTTCTCTTCAAAGAGCAAGCCATCTCTTCCATTTTTAGCTCCAGGAGCTGGTGTGGCCACCTTGCTACCAGCAGGGAGATGAAATCAGCACCAAGACTGGATGTGTAAAGAAATGATCCTTAAAGATGTTACTGAACCTCTTCTCAGCAGCCTGAAATCCTCCTTAGACAGGACTTGGAGCTATGTCATAATAAATGTCCTTATTGTTTCATTCAAATTCACATTCTAGCCCCAGCCCCTACCCAATACACCTGCCCTCTGAGCACAGCCTCTAGTCCTTCCTGTGTTTACCACCGCCCTCACATGACACCTGCTCTTCAAGCTCATAGTCATCTCCAGCCTCTCCCATTCCACCAGCTCCTCCTGAATCTTTCAGCCTCCACCACCCCAAATCCCCCAAATTCTAGACCACAGTTCACAGAGAACTGACCCTCTGCTCTCTCCCCTCCATGCTGGATGAAGGCTGCAATCTGCCTCCTCTGGTCAGATTGTGCCCAGTAGCCAATCTGTGCTACTGGGAGAAAAATCACGGTCTTCCAGATAATCCCACAGAATGACAAGTTTCATTCAAGCCCTCAATGGATACTTTACTTGTCCCTGGTTAGCGTCCTACACCAACTTCCTCACTGACTCCCAACTTTTCCCATTGTCTTCATGCCTCCTTGGGACAGAGGCTCTAGGGTCTAACAATGGGTAACCATTTACTAACTGATGACACTGATCAAGTTGCTTAACTGCTCTAACACCCAGTCTCTTTGTCAGTACAGTGGTTGAATGGACCACAAATGGCTATTGCCTAGCATGGTGTCAGATACATAGCAAGTGTCCAGTACACAGTAGCTATTATTCCATCTAGGCCCTGGCCAAACTGCCTTTCCACCCTCTGGTCTCAGTTGACCACCCCCTCTTCTCCTTGGTCCCCTCTCCCCAGGCACCTGCTTCACTGTTCCTCCCTTCTATAGTTTCTATGTCTTCCACCCATTGGTCATTTCACCCCACATTCCACCCTTAATTGTAAATATGGTCAAGTCTTCTCAACTTAAAAAAACAAAACAAAGTTTCTCCCCCTTGA